AATTAAAATGGTGGAGTATCTAAACAGAGATAAGAATTTATAATCGAGATTTGATCCTTAAAATCAGGGATTATCTATAATTTCTTTCATAATTTATCTTTTTATTAAGGAGAGAGGGAGAGAGAGAGAGAGAGAGAGAGAGAAAGGTATTAATTTTTTTCTTAAAAAAGAGGGATATATTTTTTCAGATGTAAAAATGGTCCCTTATAAGTGAAAAGACAAATATACCCTCATGTGGGAGGAGGTTAACAGCAACAACTTAACGGAAGTTAAGTCGGGGGACCAATTCTATGTACAGACTAGGCCAAAATGACCATGAATTCAAAACAATCAAGGTTTAGACTGAAACCCCAAAAAAATGCATACCACAGGGACCATTTTTGCAATTTTTTCTAAATATTATTCGATTCCTTATTCAAATTGCAAGTAGTTTGGTTGGATATAGTCGCCAAGCCCTTGTGTTATTTTTCACGTTAAGAGCCTCTGTTCGAATCCCGTTTTGTACTGCGTGTTTTAAAATGTAAAATGCTTTTTTTTGTTTGTTTTACATTATCCTTAAATTATTAAGTGTGACGCCTGAGAATAAAGAAGAATATGTAAAAACATGATACGTTTACCATTTCTACGAATCTATACAAAATTTCATTTAATATAAACGTTTTTTGTTTTGTTATAATATTTGGACGAGGATATGCAATTTTTTCATATAATGATGAGCCTATCATATTTGAAAGAGAATTATGTATTTTGTGAAATGATGAAGGATTTTACATTTTATTATATATAGCTCTCATAATTTATAAAAACTATTGCTATTAACATAGTTATCTAACACATTTTTATTTTCAAAAAAACGTTTAATTGGTTATTAATTATTGCTATTAACAATATTTTTTTTAATGACAAGAAGATTTTATTAGACTTAGAGGAGTGGTGCGGTTTCGCCACTGTGGTAGGGGAACACCGCCCCCTGGGTGCCGTCAGGGTGCGGTCTTAGCCGCAGTGTGTGGTATGGATTTGTCACACGAGAAAAAAAAGCATTCATTCACATGTTGTACGTCATGCATAGAAATGTGTATTGTGGTGGGTGTGGTATGACACCTACTAGTTTTGTAGGTTGTGGTAAAAAATGAGACACTTAAAAAGTATGGTGAGTATAGTATGACACCCACCAACCTTAAAAACAACTCGCTAGTGGGAGTTCAAAACATTTCCTTAATGTGTCATTATACCAATTTGATCAGTTGATCACCCACATATACTTAATCCTAATTAGAGATGATCTATTTGTATCGAATCTTATGGTAATATTAATAAATTTTGCCTATATATAATAAATTATATTAGGGACTCAATTTTGTCACCCTCGCACAGAGCCCTTAAAATCAACGGATTGGCCTTGATTAGGAAAGAACATAAAAACGATCGAGCCAATTTCATATTTTAGTATTATCACCATAAACAAACGCTTTCCTTAATAGTCTCTTACATTATGCTATATCTTAAAAATGTTTATCAATGTAAATAAATCATGGCATTGCATGTTTTTGGAAATTATTGATAAGTGTGATTGATGATGGGGATGTTGGAAATGGTGTAGGAAGCATGTGAATTTGTATGTGATGGCCGCATGGTCATGGCATGGGCTACGCTAATTGCCACTCTTTTCTTTCATCTCCTCTCTCTTACTTTTCTCCATTAACACTTCCTTTTCAGTCCAGGGATCATATATATAAGCTGAAGAAAACTGACTACTCGATGAAAAGAAAGTGAGTGTACCCCGGACTTCAAACTTCAGTCGCCTAAAAAGGTAACCTACTTTTGTTTCATTTTCAAGGTTGGGATTATCTTTATTTCGTTAATAATTTGCAAATATTTTATTTTGAGATTACGTACTTACGACGTATTTAATTACACGTGTCTTGATCATGTAAATATTTTAATATACGTTAATATGTGGATAGGAACACTTTCTTTAATATGTTGTACACATAACAAATATGTGTATGTCACCAAACAAATAAAAGATATAACTTTAGGCCTTTTCTGTTTGTAATTTTTAGTTTTTAAAACAAAAGGTTGAAAATCCATAAGCTACTTAAAGTAGCGGTTAATGGCGTGCTTTATATAAATAAATTTTATGTCATTTTACGCATTTTAAAAGTTACCAGCTATTTTTTCTGAATACTCCTGTACAAATAAAAGCTACAACTTTCAGGTAACAACCAGTAGCTATATGTACAAATTTACATATTACCGGCTACTACCTACAACTTTACATACTACCTACAACTTTACATATAATTTTACCTAAAACACCTTCTTCTTCTTATTTTATTTTTTTCTTTTAATTTCATTGAAGTTTTGTGCATATTGTCCCTTTCAATTTTCGGATAATAAATAGACATGTCAATGGGGCGGATTTTGACCCTGATTCGCTCCACAGCCGTAAGAATTTAACGGGTTTGGATTTTAATTTTTGATTCGTTTACCCGTTTACGATCCATACCCGTTTACTCTTTTAGTGAATGGGTCGGGTATGGATCATTGTCGATCTGCTCCACTTATGACCCACCCCATAATATATATATATATATATATATATATATATATATATATATATATATATATATATATGACAACAAAATATACAACTCGATGTCTAAGTAAAATGTGATTTTTATTGTATTGGACTTTGAGTATTAATTAATGTACATCTTATTTAAGTAGACATTTTATCTTTTTGAGAAATATTACTTTGTGGAACACATAAAAATTATGAAAATTTAATATTATAAAAGGGTCGGGTTAATGGATCGGTTATTCATTGATTCGGTGGATACGGGTATGGATTCGACTAATCAAGACCCTGAGGGTTATTGGAGCGGGGCGGGTCATGTTTTTATTTATTTAAATGGGTTTGGATCAATGGTGATTCGTTCCAAACCCGCCTCATTGACAGGTCTAATAATAAATAGTAGTTGCCACAACCATCGTATTTTTCATTCGACCATAAAATCAACTAAACATTTGTTTAATGTCGATAAGTACTTTTTTTAATGCATGCATTGTAGTATACAATCCGACCAAATCTGGCCTATGATACGATTTTTACATAACTCAGTGTGTTTTTTTATTTTCGGAAGCAAAATCAACATCGTAATAAGGATATATTTAGTATGAACTTTGAGAATATCCAAAGTCTCATGATAGTTTTGTTGCAAGATACTATTTTATTTTTAATTTGGTTTTATTTGCTTTCAACAAATAAATGTTTGATTTTATATATGCACATCACAATCTCATTAAATAGCAATAGCATATACACATGGTGTATACCAACTTTATTTGGACACCAAAATTAAAATAATATATTTTTAATTTTTAATTTTTTTTTTAATTTTTAATTTTTAAAATTTTTAATTTTTTGGTAAATGTTATAAAGTTTGTAGCATCGATCGTTGTAAATTGAATATTGTAAAAATAGGATAAACTATATATGATGCAGAGATCTTAACTTTTACTCTCTATCATTGACTTTTCAAATTATATATTAATCATATATAGATGGTAATCTATTTTAATAAATTAGCTCTCATAAATAAACCCGAGTCACTTTTCAAATTATATATTAATCATATATAGATGGTAATCTATTTTAATAAATTAGCTCTCATAAATAAACCCGAGTCACTTAGAATTCATCGGAGCCTCATCTATTTTTAAAAGCTTTTTCAAAGAAAATATAGAATTTCACATCAAGGTTGTCAAGATCAGGATCCTACCTAGGATCGTTTTTAGGTTTGCAAGATCGGGATCGGGATCCTAAGATCCCAGAAAATAAAATATAATTTTAATTTATAATTTTTAATCATGAAAAATATTTCAAACATTCAATTTTTCGTTTAAAAGTTATAAAAACTTCAAAATATTAGTCATAATTCACAATACAAAATGATTAATGGTAAATTGGTAAAGGGTAAAAGACATAAAGTGGTAAAAAAATTCATTTGCAAAAAAAAATAAAAAATAAAAAATAAAAAAAATTTCAAGGGAAGGTAGGATCGGATCGGATCTCGATCCTACCTATGATCTTACGATCTTACCTACGATCCTACACCAAATACGATCCTTTTACGATCCGAATCGTTTTTCATACCTAGGATCGTAGGATCGTACGATCCTACGATCAGGATCGCGATTTTAACAACCATGCTTCACATTACTATATATATTGGAGTCTCATCTATTTTTAAAAGCTTTTTCAAAGAAAATATAGAACTTCACATATTATATGCTAATCTAACTAATATGATACTACAATCGATAGCACCGTATTTAGGCTGTGTTTGACGTACCACTATTAGCTGATAAGCTAGTTTGCTTTTCGAGTTTTTTTAAATTGTCATTTTGGCAAACCAAAAAGTAACTTATAAACCAGCTTATAAGCTAGCTTTTTAATAAAACTACTTAAACTAGTTTTTCAGAAGATTTTCTAAAAATTTTTAAATATACCCCTTAATTAGTTATAACAAACATATATTCTTTTAAATATTGTTTTATGTCATTTTATATCTTTCAGCTAGTTTTACTAAACGTCATTTTTACCAGCTGGTTGTTTAGCTATCGGTAGCTATTCATATAACAGTTAGTTTTTCAGCCGTCAACTAGTTTTTTTCATCACGTCAAACATAGCCTTAGTCTAATCTCAACATTCGAGCATCCAACCCGAGGGATTTGTCAATGTCCCATATCGGCTAGAAAGGATCGATATAAGTTTGGTAATAACAATAACGAATCAAATAAATTGTTTGAAGAATGTGTTTTTGTCTTTTGAATCCATATTTTCAAATCACCTATAATTTCGATCTCTTTGGAAATTCTAGTGGCCAGCAAGCTACTCATCATCATATCTTTACTAGTAAATGACAAAATTACCCCTTGAATAGTTGGTACTCTCAATGAATATTGCCATCATATGTGATGTCTAAACTTTAAGCCAAAAATATCTGTCCTTTTGGGCTTCTTGTACTTCAATTTTTCCGAAGTGTCCATTAACACCATTTCCACCATCCTTATCTCCTCTTCCAATCTCCTCTCTAAAGTTTGTGATTTTTTTCTTACTTTTTAATAAATTTGATTAAAATTGGAGATAGTTATATATAGTCTTGTGTAGCAATTAATTTATATGTAAATTTTGCATGTCGATCGTGTAGAGAAGAGAATGGAGTCAAAGAAACATGCACAAGATAAGTCATCATCTCCACTGTTCCTACCAGCTCAAAGAGACGTCCGTGGCTCACTTGAAGTATTCAACCCATCAACCAACGACACCACCGCACCATTCCGACCACAGCCCACCTGGCGGAGCTGGGCAGAGTCGCCGCCACAAAACAACCCAGAAACTCCACCGTCGGAGGCAGTCAATGTTAATGTTGCTAGCCTTTCGACCTCTCAATCCGGTAGACTGCCAGCTGATGAGATCAAGTCATGGATGGCCCTGAAAGATCCTAACCCGTATGAAGTTCCGCCGGTGACGTTGGCGCCTAAGTCACCGGCCTTTGCTCAAAGTTCCAAAGCGGCTGTGATGGCACCACAGTCGCCGGGTGGAATAGTGGGTGCTGCTGAACAAAGAGCGGCGGAGTGGGGTTTGGTTCTGCAAACAGACACCGAGACTGGTAAGCCACAGGGGGTTAAAGTAAGAACCTCCGGCGAGGATCCGAATGCTAAACCCGGTTCAAATAGGAGGGATTCGGGTAATTCCCTTCAGAGTTCCAGTGATATATCAGATGATGAGGGATTGGGTAAGTTTCTATACATTATACTGGTAATAGTTTTTAATTATTGATTATTTAGTTGCGATCTTTAATTTATATTCTATAATACAAAGAGGTCAATAGTAAATCTGATTTTTTTTTTTTTAATTTATATTGAACACTATAAGATATGGTCATGAACTTATTCCCATATTATATGAACATCTGAAGGTGTTAATCATATATGTGACAACTGAAACTGTGAATATATAGTTTAATTCTTTTATGATTCGACTCTTATGATATTCTAAAATTGGATTAAATATAAAACAATGCTAAACAACTACTTGTTCATGTAGCAAAACTTGTTTTATAAGAACTTATATCATTAGTGTTATTGATAAGTTACATATTAATTTTTTTTTTTGGAATAAACAATGGAACAGGAAAAGAGAGAGGTTTTCCGAGAGTATCAGAGGATTTGAAGGATGCATTATCGACATTTCAGCAGACATTTGTGGTTTCAGATGCCACAAAACCAGACTATCCAATTTTATATGCAAGTGCTGGTTTCTTTAAGATGACTGGTTACACTTCCAAAGAAGTAATCGGCAGAAATTGGTATATATGACTTCTTTCTTAATTTGTTCAGAAAAATTCTTCTTATGAAAAAGACACTTACGTTGACAAAAAATAATGATTTTGGGTTAATATAAACTGAAAAAAAAAATCCAATTTGACAACAGAAATATGGTGTTAATTAAACATTGATACAATAACTTATTCAATCTTGTTATTGCACATCGGTTAATACATTAACTTGGGTCCATTAGTTTTTTTTTTCTCTTTATAAATACTTAAATAATATTTTATTGGACATAAAACCATTATATACTTTAGTGATATTATCGTTTTGTTTTAATTTTAATACAAAGATATTATTTCGTGGAAAGTTAAGAACAATCACATTTGGAACTTTTTGTGACTTTTTGAATATATTGGAATTGTCGCCTAAATAACATTTTGTCGTTTTGCTGCCTTTGTGTTCCAAAATAACCGTGACACCGTAACACTATTTTCATCTCATAATAACGATAACAATAATACGATTTACTGTACAAATTCCATAAAAATATTATCAATTTTATTTTCAAAAAAGTATTCAACTTTTGAAATTTGGAAAGAATAGATTACAACTGTTTATCTTTTCATGTATCATAATTTATATATATTAAAAAATATTATTATTTTATATTTGAAATAAATGATTGAAAAAGCTGTGTATGTGTGTGTGGGTTTCAGCCGGTTTCTACAGGGTGCAGACACCGATCCGGAAGATGTGGCTAAAATTAGGGAAGCGTTGCAAAAGGGCACGACCTTCTGCGGTAGACTCCTCAACTACAAGAAGGATGGCTCAACCTTTTGGAACCTTCTCACTGTTTCCCCTATCAAAGATGAAGCTGGCAACATCCTCAAATTCATTGGGTATGTTTTAAATTATAATTGAAGTTATTGATATAACGTACACAACTTAACATTCATAAGAATATAAGATGAACATATTCTTTTTTAAAAAAAAATTACAACGACTGTTATAAACAACCATGAACTATTTGTTCGGTTTAATAAATGTAAAAAAAATGGTAACCTGTTTCAGGGCCCACATGAGAGATCTAATAGTAAGAACTAGGTTTGATAAATGTATATGTAAGTATTTTGTGTCACGCTATTTTAGGGGTTTCATTATGCGTTACTTGATTTAGGTGTTTTAGTTTGATTATTTTAGATCTAGACATTATTTGTTGTTTATTATCAGGTGTATATATAAGTATATAACCCCTACTACACATATCTGATACATCGTATTCAACAATGTATGTAGACAAATACTTCTTTAGCTTTGATATGAGCTCTAGTCTTGTCATCGTCAAATCAAACCCCACGTGATTCATATTTATCTGGCATCTTGTTAAAGAGTTTTCGGTCGCAAGTATTTTAATTTATCTTCTTTTCTTTGGGATCGATTCGGGATCAAAAAGATTAGTTTTCCACCATATCTAATCAGTTTCTCTATCGACAACTACACCAACGTTTAAGAAAGCGACACGTTACAAATTTCCTACTAAGTTCACAACTTTACACGATCACAGGGTTAGTTTAGTAATTTCAGTAGTTTGTATGCTATCACTTGATTTGTTTCATTAGGTAAGGGGTTGAGGGAGGGACATGGTGGTCCATTAATGATGGACCATTGGAACCCCATCGTGTGTGATGTTACTAGTTGATGGTGAGTGATGGGTGAATGGACCCTCCTTGAGGTTTAGTCCCTGTTTCCATATTGCTCTGTTTAATTATTTTATTTGTCACATATTATTCACCTTATCTAATATTTAACTCAACGTTAAGGGTCCAACATGTAACACGTGACTGTCACATGGTTGTTGACATTAGTGATCATTGATCAATGGATAACTTAACTCCCAAAATTTGGATATTTCATAATGGGTAACTTTTTATAAAATTGACCTTTGACTGTCCCATGCATGGTCGTCGACTTCCAAAAATGGGGAACTCCCAACGTTTTACAAAGTTGCCCTTTGACTTAAGTTTTTTCAAAGTTGACCCTCATTTACTTTTCACCCTTTTGTTTTTCGTGTTCCGTATTTAATTTTCTTAAATATTTTTAAGTATCGATTATGGCGTAAACTATGGTAGGTTTGATAATTGATTTGCATGTGTTATAGAATAATTTGATTAACAGGGTTCATGACTTTATGCAGAATGCAAGTGGAGGTAAGCAAGCATACAGAAGGCACGAAAGAGAAGACGCTCAGGCCAAATGGGTTGCCTGAATCTTTGATTCGATATGATGGTACTCGGTTTTTCTTGTTAATTTCTCACAAACTGTCATAATTAAAAAGATACATTAATTTAGGCTTTTGATATATAATATTGATCTTATTTGATGTAATTAATCTTGTAGCCAGACAAAAAGAGATGGCATCGAGTTCAGTGACCGAGTTGGTGGAGGCAGTGAAAAGACCTAGATCACTCAGTGAGTCAACCAATCGTCACCCATTCATGACGGAATCAGGAAAGAAGGAGAAACAAGACAAAGACGATGCGTCGGGTTTAGGCCGGCGTAAATCTGCAGAGACTACGTATGCTCCGCCACCACCTCCTCCACGAAGAAATTCACACGCCGGCGTTAGAACCATCAAAACCATGCAGCCAATCGACGAGCTCCCTGAAAAGAAGCAGAAAAAACCAAGACGTCTTTCTTTCATGGGGTATTTAAATAGAGTTTCATAAAAAGCATACATGCATGCATGTAATCCCTTAAAATACAAGTAACTTGAACGCGAATTTAAATATAGATGCTAATGCAATAATGTATATGTTTATGATGTAGAATTAAGAAGAAAAATCGTAAAAGTAGTGAAGAATACGATGACGGATTCGAGGGAGACATCAACATTCAGGATACCGATGGTGAGGTTGACGATGAAGATGATGGGTTTGAGCTGAAGAAGGCTGATTCAAGGCCAGAAAGCTTGGACGACAAAGTTAGAAAGAAAGAAATGAGAAAGGGTATTGATCTCGCAACAACCCTTGAACGTATTGAGAAAAACTTTGTCATCACTGATCCACGACTTCCCGATAATCCCATCGTAAGTCTAGTACTACCATTTGATCTTACAATTCGTCAAAAAAATTCAGAATTTTCTAATGTTTTATTCTGATCACCAGATTTTTGCGTCGGATAGTTTCTTAGAGCTAACAGAGTATAGTCGAGAAGAGATTCTGGGAAGAAATTGCAGGTAATTAATTTAATTTAAGGTTTACTTCAGAAAATTTCAGTAAAAGTCGCTCTAATCTGCTCGATAACATTACATATGATACACGAAAAACAATGCTTCATGATAAACCATTATTATGTTAAGGTTTCTTCAAGGGCCTGAAACTGATCCAACAACCGTCAAGAAAATCCGAGACGCCATTGATAACCAAAGAGAAGTTACTGTACAACTCATCAATTATACAAAAAGCGGTATGCACATATATATAGACATACATGTAGATATATG